CCAAACACTGGCTGTAGATTGGGCATTTCACATTTTTTGCGAGTTTTGCAGCCACTTTAGTTTCTCCTACACACTTCACAGCCCATTCTCATTCCCAACTCATCAAATACAGACTGGCTCCTTTAAGTGATTCAACTAGGGAGATATAAAGATCTTCCAGTGCTCTCAAGATCTTTACATACAAAACAAAAAGTAGTGCAGTGACAATTTTTTATTCATCAAATTTAATTATCTTCTGTAAAACACTGAAAACAAGTGACACAGCACATTCACAATGGTCAATAATATTGTTTCATCTCTGGAAAATGAGCTTTAGTACTAAAGAATCAACACAAAATATGGCGAACCGCAGATGGTCCACAGAATGGAAGTTGAACATAACGCTAGAAATATCTTTTCAGACAATGTGGAAGGGGGTCCTCCGCTTGCCACCTGGCTGACCTGGTACATCTGGACTACTTTGACCCAGGCCCAGATAAGCAGAGAAAAAAGGGATGGATTGATGGATGGATGGGAGACATGGAAGTACGTGTTGCGCAGTGCTTCTGTACTTACATTCAGACGTACTGAGACTATTATCTCACATTAGTACAGTGGCAAGGATAAAGAAAACATCCAATGAGTTTGTTGACATAATAGCACTTTTCAAGCTCCATCATTACATATTCTGATCGTTGACAATGGCAAAGAAAATACAAAGAATAATTTTGAATGTCTTGTTTCCTTTAACCACCACTGCCTAGGACAGACAGATCCTCAACATCTAACCCTGAATGAATGGATGGTTTCCTGCAGAGACGTTCTACTCTCTGTGGTGGCCTGTCTATCTCTCTGTCCTCCATAGATAAAGTTAACTATGTAAAACCAGCTGTTTGTGATGTCTTCTGGCACATATTGAGACACAAAGGTCCACAGAGGGACTTGAAGGCCACAATAACAGTGAGCTGTGTGAATCTAGGACACAATCAACACTCAACAACTCAACAACAATACAGCAGCATTAGTGGCTGCAGTCCACAAACACTGTACGATTCCTCCCCACAGACTCTAGAGCATGTGTAATCACCATGAGGAGCCTATTAGTGAAAAACTGTATCCGAGTTGTAAAAAAGTGGGATATCATTGGGAAAATCACCAAGACTGCTGATATGATTGTATTAATATAAAAGATGTAGTTTCATCACCTTCAGTGTATCATTAAACTATTTTTACTAGGGTGTAATGCAATTTTGGTCATTGGTTGATTTAAGTTCTGTCTAAATCACTGTCCATAATTATCTTTTTAATGAGACTAGTGATTAAGGTGAAGAGTGGGCTGCACAAGTCACACAAGATCTGCATGAGTTATTTTGTGAGTTTCTTGACCATTTAAACAGTTGATTTAATTTGATCTTCCAGAGCCCACAGATCTTAATTAGATTCCATATTGTGTGTTACGGCTTATGAAACTGTGGTGACTCAGACTACTTCATCAGTTGCTCACAGAAGAAAGTAAAAGCTTCAGGATTCAATTAATCAATAAACCTTTCTCTTAAAATTTTGCTTAGTTAAGTCGTCTTACACTTTAACAAGATCCCACTGTAGCCACTTGTTGATAAATGGATGCTCATTTCTGCTACACGGCTACAATAAACAATTGATGTGTGCTGGAATAAAGAGAAGCTCTTCCATCACTGTAACACCTTGTCAGTATGACTACGGGCTCCATGAAATATGCATTGAAGCTCTCAGATCAATCTAGACGCATTAGGAAATAATACTGTATAAAAAATTATGCATGAGCTCTTTAATAGACATCCAGCACAAGTGAGAGAAAATACATAAATTACAAGAATTCTAAATCTAAGAAAGATGTTCGCATCTTTGTGCCATCAACTGTCCTTAATTCATCAACATGTCATGTTTAAAAGGAGCAGAACTCACCAGACTCTGAACTAATAATAATAATAATGATTTTTTTTTTTACCAACCATTCGTATTTGTGTTAAGTGACAGGGAAATAATGACTAATAACAATATAAGTACTACAAGACCTGTGCATTACTGAGTGATCATTTTTATTTTGACTGATGTTGTGGTGAATGGACACATTCAAAACACACCAAATCTTTCATGGTTACGGTATGTTTATTCATTTATATATTCTGGCTTGTCATTTGCTCATTATTCTGCTGTCAGTTCAGACACAGCCAGTCTCTGATTATAGTCACCTCACCTGCTCACCCTCATTCCCTCATTAGTTTCCTAGTATATAGATTAATTGATATCCACTAGTTCTCATCCAGACTGTCTTTGTGTCATATGCCTTAGCTTTCCAGCGTCTCGAATTTGCTTGTTTTGATCCTGATTTTCTTTTCAACCAAGCCTGTATTACTTGGATTCTGCCTCATTTTAGCCCCTTTTGGACATTGTTGTTGCCAACCTGGATTTCTGTATTATTGTACATTCTTCAAGTAAAGACTCTTTAACTTTTACCTTTGCCTCCCGAGTTGTGCATTTAGGTTGTTTTTTGTGTTTTCAACTGTGACAAAAATGTTTTGTGTTTGAATGTCTCATAAGTGTAACAGTGGCCATTGTGGTATTTAGTTAATAATTTTAGATATTTGTTAAAATAGCTGAAATATCCAGTGGGGACATCGTGCCAAGTATATATATATATACACATAATACTTAAAATTACACTTGGATTTTGCACCCGTATTATTATGCAGATATTTACCTTTTTTTATTAGTTTGGGTTATATCATGGATCAACGATTTCTGATGAAAAAAATAATGTATTCATTAAAATTTGTCCTCGTTGACCTATTTTTTTTCTCCAGTTCTTTAAGTTTTGGATGATCTGGGGTTGTTATATTGATGTTGCTGTAGTTCCCTAATTATCTTTGATGAAATTGTTCGATGAACATTACCATATAAATATGTATATTCCTTCCTTTGCCGAAGAGAAGATCATTGCCACTTTCTTTGTCTGTACGTTGTAGGTACGTTCATTATGAAGCTAGAGCCAGGAGACCTTAGCTTAGCATAAAGACTGGAGACAGGGTAAAACAGCACCTCCAAAGCTAACTAATACAAAAACTAGTAACTAACTAACTAGGTAACAGTAAAAAAGTTGCGGTTCTATTGGCCAATTATGTGATGGATGAATAAACAAACAAGATACATATTAATTATTTACCTTTAGATGGACTTTTTTTTTTACTCTCGGACTGAGCCTGGGCTAGCTGTTTCCCCTTGAATCCAGTCTTTATGCTAAGCTAAGCTTACTGTCTCCTAGGTGAGATTTGTATCTACTGATTTAGCTATTCCTTTGAGTAAATTTACCTTATTTGTGTAATTACATAAATAGGAATGTATATGTTTTCTCACTGAAATATTTTTGTGGGCTTCTGAATGGTTACTTTACCCAGCATCTGTGTCCAAATAATGTACACCTGTCCATACACCAGGTGAAGACAGAGCAGACTGACACATCGTAAATAAAACATACCAACAACAGTTTCTTTTACTTTACAAATTATTAAGAGCTGAGGCATTTGAGAAACAGTGTTGCTGCTGATAATAGATGACTTAGACGAAGCTGATATCGATTCTTCTGTTTTATCAACTCTAATGGATTACTGGCTGTGACCATGACACCACAAAGCACACACAAACACCCACAGACATTTATCATCCCACTCTACCTTGTCATAGTATCGTATCTCGTAGTCGAGGATAATTCCGTTGGGCTGTTCGGGCGGTGGCCATGACAGCGAGAAACTGCGGCTCGTTGAACTCACTTGGTGCATTATGGGAACCACTGAGGGAGCTGTTAAAAAACACACACACACACACACAAATACACACAATCAATTAGGCAGTTAAAGGATTCGCTAGCATGCTTAAACACCATAAATATGGAAATTTAGTGTGTAATGTAATGACATATTGCCAAGGATTATTTACACCCAAAGGAGAAAAATGTTTCCTCATCCAGGCTCATGAAAACAAATTACTGCACTTGTCACTGATGGGGAAACAAGAGTTATGTCTGTAATGCATTTTTACTCATAATTTTAGGAACCAGAAGCTGTTGGCTATAATGTATTTCATGGTTTTGCCTCTGGGATCTTTTTATGAGATGGTTTTCATCACATTTGTACTTTAGTTGATGGCGTACACTGGAGAGAGGAGGGAATCAAGACATGGAGATTGATACTACACCAGTAACAAGTATCAAACTGATATAAGTTATGTTGAGAAAGAGAATGTATGCTTCTCACACAGCGGAGTCACAAAGAATATCGTGGGACTGCCATAATCCTCGGTAAATGCTGTGATACCTCATGAGCCACATGTGTCTTCTGTAGTCATAATTTGACAGTGTGAGTGAGCTGTCGCCTGAAAACCTCATAGTCTTTTTTTAATATTGCCACAATTGACATTTTACAGGGGTCTCTATATGTCGAGCGAGTTTCATATCCTAAGGCCCCGTGAAATGCGCTAAAACCTACTGCATAATTTAAACCCCAGCAGTGCAGTCAACCTGAAAATAAATCAGTTTTTGTTGAGTCCTAAAAGATTTCAGGGATAAGAGAGTTTTTCATCCGGCAGCAGTAACAAATGTGCTCAGAAAGCAGCAGGGTGACAATGGATCATGTTTCGATTAGGAATGAGCCTAGGTTGCCGTAGATGAGGTAAATGGTGTGTTTTCCATCAGAGTAAAGCAGCTTTTAAATCTAAATTTGGGTAGCGGTGGAAATATCACTTGTGTCTGTCTCCATAAAGTATTGATGGAGCAGTAACTCAGCTCACTTTATAGTCTCTAAGAATTACACTGTCAGAGACTGAGAGAGGGGGACAGAGAGAGTGGAGGGCACGGAGAGGGGATAAAGGCAAGAAAGAGAGAACTGAGAGGCAAAGGGGGAAAGAGGAAAACAGGATGAAAGCTGTGGATGTGCAGGAAAGACAGAGAAAGGGGAGAGAAAAGGAGACAGAGGGAGAGAGATGACAAGCTTATAACATGTTTTATGAATTAAAAGGCTGTAGCTCAATTTCCTTTATCCCCCTAGCCAGCATAATCCACTGTGCCCCGGGGTATGCTTACACACACACACACACACACACACAGCTTTTGCACTCCCGACTCACCAGCCTGATTGGTTGTAATGTTGATTGACAGTTGTTGGGCGGGATAAGGGCTCTTGTTGGAGACTCCGTTTACTGCCTGTAGAGGACAAAGTGTAATGGTCAGCGGTCACAGTTACTAGGCCTGTCATGCTTTCTTTTCTCGCACAGCACATATGCAGTTTACAGTGTTAAAAGGTGGCAGAATTAACACTCATAAATCCTAACAATAATAATATTTATTATTCCTAACAATAGGCCCTTGATTTCAGACAAAGGTAGACAGAGAAGACAGTAGACAGTAGAAGAGGCCTCTCATCTCTATCCAGTGACTGGGGATTTCACCAGCTGAAATGACAGCAGATTCTTGTCAGCTGAAGTTACATAGCTGATTATGATAACATTAGCTCTATGAGTTGCTTGAAAACTCACAGACTGACTTTGTAATGTTTCCAGCTGATTTGTCTTAAATATGCACTTGATGGTTAAATTCATTATTTTGTGCTAACAGAATGAGGCTAAAGACGGGCTCAGAGTGCAGGAGTTTTAAAATCCAAACCAATTTTGAATTTACATTGCTTTAAGCACATAAGGAGAAAATTCACCAATTTTTTTTCTTTGTAATCTCAAACATGCACACACTTCAAAATGAAACAGGTTGCTGTAGTAACGCCAAAGCCTTTCAGTGAGAAAAAAAAGAGAAAAAAGCTACACAAGTCTGGATGAGAAAATGGTTGTCTATTCAGCCAGTTAGATGTCTGTTTGTGTAGTTTAATATGTATATAGTATGATAGCTGTCAGCCTTAAGGGCTAACAAGTCCACCACTGCTTGGCAACATTCACTTTCATACCGATGTAATTATTTAACATTTAAATATCAAACATGTGAGTAGGTCTGGAGGTTTAGGTCTGGATCTGTAAACCCCTCACATTCCCAGATAATCTGGGTCGAACATTGGTACAAACCATGGTCCCAGTCCAGATTTCTCCTTCCTACGTAACCCAGTCTGGCTGCTTAGCTTACACATTTGGACAAGCAAAACAGAGGTTGGATATCTGCTTTATTGTTGGTATAACAGTGTGTTTCACTTTTAAAGTTACAAGAGAAAAGGCTTTTAAGTTTAGAGCTAACTGATGAGTTTGGCAAAAAAAAATCTGCTGACGTTACCATACTAGACTGTGTTAGCATCCAGGACACATAATGAGACAATATTACACAAAGGTTTTACAGGTTAGGTTTTCTGTAACTAACCATAATGTAGTATGAAATACTACCTCTGAAGTAACACTGGGTTAACGTGACATGATCAATAGGGCAGCTTACATTTGAGGAGATAAACAAACTACAAATTAATTCCTTTTGCTCTCTTTTGGACTTGAAAAGGAATACAACACCCTCCACACTCTTACGACACTCTTACTACATCCACATGCACTCTGCTTTGGCATGTTGAGAAATCTGAAGCTTAACAGACCCTCTGTGCAGAATTATGGTTGCTAAGCTATGATTGGAGAAATCACTGTTCAGGGAAGGAATTTAGCAAAGAGTCAATTATCAGCAACAATGAGTTGGTTTTCATTTCAGCGTAGAAGCACCGCCGATGTCTTCTTCAAACTGTAAGGTCTCACCGTCTTTCTCATCTCACAAACACAAAGACACAATTAACAGGATTCGAGTGCGTTTTAAAGACCACCTAATTAGCTGTCACATACTGTTTGTCATGGGCTCAGTTAATCATTTCGACGGTTGAAACAATGTCTTCAGTCATAGCAAGTCATTAAACAAAGGCGTGGTAATTAGTGACGCTAGCTTACTCCAAGCTCTAATTCTATATTGTTTTGTTTGCTTCGTTATCATTTCACATTTTATTTTGTGTTTTCCTTTTTCCTTGAGTTTCTGAGGATTCAAAAATACCAGGTTTGCCAAAATATAAAAAAAAGGTTTTCTACATATTACCAGTGAGTTAGATAATAGAGATATAATAAAACTCCTATTTTTAATTTGGTACACTGGACTTGAGATGAGATTTCACAATACAAGGCTGAATGGGAAGTAACAAGCTTTCTTCCCTTAACAATTACCATGTGGGTCACCTTGATTTAGACACCCAGCCTTGATGGTAAAGGCGGACGATGGCAGAAGATTAAAAGGTTCACCATCGTACTGACTTTATAGGCATCGTGGTGGCCTTGTGGTTTGAGAGAACATGACAGCATAACAGCAAACTGTGCACAAAGCCCCTGTGTCAGAAAGCATCTATGTAGCTTCAGTATCCTTGAGCATCACAGTGAATATCTGGCAGCTATTTACATATTATAACAAGAGTTGACAGCACACTTAGGACCAAGATTGTTTTTAATGTATTTTTTAGTATATTTTTTATAGTTCTCAGTATAAATTTTTTTAGAGAAGAAACTGTATTTTAAACAGTTATCCTACTTTGTAAAAGTTACATTTCAAAGTAACTTTCTTCAACATTGCGTAACAAGTGGTGTGAAAAGTTAAAGGAATTCTCCACTGAAAATCCAACTTTTGAGCAAAGTATCACTCTCCGCCTGTATGCTTAAAAGGTGGCTTTGTAAAGTTTGTTACTCACTTCTTCGTGGAGCGTTAAAATACCCTGGATTCACAGCCGTTACAGTGGCCTCCAATGACAATTGAATCATGGCAGAGTCAATTTGCCAGTACTGTGCCTCCTGCAAAGCTACGAAGAGGCAACAGTGTCAAGAATCGTGTCTGTAGATATGTATGTTGTGAGGAAACTATGAGCATGAAGATCAACAGAGGAGGAGTGGATTATGCTGCAGGAAGTGTTTTCTTAAAGGTCTTAAAGGTCTTGCTGTGATTCTGGGTAGCTGTTGGTGGCCATTGCAACTGAATCCAAACCTAAACATAGCTGCCATTGAGATAACTTTTCAGAGACACCTTTAAAACGATCAGTGTGTGATACTCTATATATACATATATATCTATATCTAGGTGAATATTCTTTCAACATCATTCAACAGCCCGCATGCTGAACAAAACAGAGTGCACAGTGGACAAACCTGTATCTCAAAGGTGTACGATGTATGCGCCCGCAGCTTGCTGATCTTCACCCTCGTTTCCTTTAACCCTCGCTTGCCTGGAATGAATGCCACGCCGTCGTCACACGGCTGACATGCCCGGCGCTCACTGCTGTGGCACCGCCGGCATAAGACATTATATGACAGGTCGTCACGGTGCCCGGTGTCCCGTGGTGAGTGCCACTCCAGAAGCACTGATGTCTGGTTGACGACCGAGACCACATTGCGAGGAGCCGAAGGGACACCTGGAGGAAGATTATTGGGGGTTAAAGGGTTGACACTGAAAATACAATGTTTCCAATGTCTGTTTCAGTTTCAACAGGACTATAACTGGCCACACTTATGTGCTGCAGATATCAATCAGGCAAATTCAAGCAAATCACTCCTCCACACCTGGATGTAATCAAATTCATTATGTTCAGCACTTGAGAAAATCACTTGTTTTTTTTTTTTATTAAGCAGTGCCTACTAATGGCTTACATATGGACAAATGTGTTACTATCACAGGAGGTCTGGTATTTTATAGCTAAGCAAGCTGTTGTATAAGCAGAGCATCCCTGCGTGTATGCTATAAGCTATGTTTGGAAACGTTTCAGTTGATATAATATTACAGTAACTAGGGAGCCAAGAAGTCTCACATTGTCATTAACATAAATGTGTGACGGGGGTTATCATGTCAGATTTACTGATGTATTGTTAGTGCAGATGCTGGAGTATCACTGTCCTGTTATCCACAATATTTTCCATAAACATGTCTGACCCATTACTGAGATTACATTAAAAGAAAATCAACCAACCGTGTTTCAGTTTGTGCTTGTGACTCAAGATTAGCTACAGAAACAAAAGGAGGAAATAACAGGACCGGTACTAAATTCAGAAACATTTAGTATTTCACTTTGTAATTGTGTGTCTCTACTTCACTACATGTCAAGGGAAATATTTATCGAATGGCAGTAACTACGAGATAATACTTAGATAGAGAGATTCAACCAGAATTTTGATACGTGATTAATCCTTGTCTTATTTGAATTTTTATTTTAAAATGCATTATTCTAGCATAAAAAACACAAATATTTTTTGGTTTTTATAGACTTGCATTTCAATGTGTCAACTTAAGTGTTTGGAAAATTCTGATGTACATTTTTTACAATATTTGGACATTATGATTAATGAATTACTCAAGAAAAGAGCCTTATGCAGCCCTATTTTACATACAATATAAGATATATCTGACTAAGATGAATAACTGAAAATAACATCTTGTCTCATAGCATCTTGGGTGTTTGAGGGATCATCATCCTGTTTGCCTAGATTATATTCTATATTAAAGTATGAACCCCTTGGCCACTGCCCTCTGAACTTTTCATATGATATCATTTTCTGCCCTCTTCATATGAAGATGAGGAACATTTAAACATTTGTTGTGTCATTTCAAGGCTGCCTTGAGGCAAAGTTGCCAAGTGTAGTTTCCAACCAGTATCGCTGGTACAGATGTAGTGAATTTGGGCTAACCCTGTCTCTAACTGTCAGAAGGTGACCTAACAGATCACCACAAGCCAGAGAATCTCTTTTTATCTGTCACTCTTCAGTCAGTCACTTTCTTTTGTGCTGGCTCTCTCTCTTTTCTGACAGCTCATCTCTTTGATCTGAGGAGAAACTGGTTTTTAGGGTGTTATCGTGAGTCTTAAACCCAGAGTTTTCACAAGGTTAAACCTAGCGGGTTCACTTCTCCTCGACTACTCATGCACAGACACACATCACAAGACCTGCGACACACACAGAGACACACCCGCACGACATGCTGGAACAAGTGCAGTTGAAATGAAATGGATATTCAACCTTGGCATATGTTAAATCACAGAGTCATAAGAAACGTCTGAGATGTCCCCGTGGAATATGCGTGTGCGTGTATTTGTCGAGCAGACACTCACAGACACCCACACTGCGGAATCAAAGTGCAAACAATCAGTAGGGGTTCGAAAATCTAAGTTGCACCATCTTATAAACATTCCTACTGAGAGAGAGGACCCAAGAGAAACTGTGCATTCATAATTACACACACACACACACACACACACACACACGACACCACACACACACACCACACACACCACCACAACCACACACACACCACACACACACGCTGGGTTGTGTGGGGTGTGTGTGGTTGTGTGTGGTGTGTGTGTGTATAATAGGTAAACAAGATATTCAAATAAACCTTTACTTCAGACATCACAACTAACAAATGAAGCCTCACCATTGAATACACACAGAAGCTACCCCTGCTGGACCCCAACAATCCCTAAGAGTTTTAAAATCTGCCAGGCTTTATGACACACACACAGCACCGTACACACACACACACACGTAGTGTGGTGACACAGATATTCACTCGATTTTTACATTTGATCTGAATAGCACAAGTACAAATTATTTTACACAGCCAGACACTCAGAGTTCACAGAAAATACACATTCATATGCAAAAAAGTAAGAAAATAGGTAATAATCATATTTTAAATTGACCATTTTGTATTAACAATAGAAACCGTTTCAAGCACTTCAAAGAGTGATCTATACTGCAGTCTACAGCCACACTTCCTCACTGTTTGAGTGGCTTTCGCAGCATCAATCTGACCTCTCCACAAAAATACACACACATATACAATACACTCACACAAACCCTCCTCCTCCGTACCTATGCAGCCCATGAGGCATGCTGAGAGAAAGATTTTCTGTCAGCCAACTATCTACACACGGCACGCTCACTCTTCCATTTCACTGATCTGATTTTATATGTGATTGAGTTTAAACCAAATAAAAATAAACTGAAGCTCCTTCCTATATTGAAGTTCTATCGCACGGTTTTCAGAGTTTTTCACTCTTCTTTTTTATTGATGCTGTGTTTGAAAAAAAAAAACAACCTGTGTAACTCCATTTGTTTTTGCCCTTGAATTGAAAGTACCAAGGTAATTCACAAAGCTGTGTAGGCTGAGTAGGTTGACACCTGACACCTTTTCACTGGGGAAGTTGATTTTTCTTCTGTCAGCATCAATTTGAGAGTTTGCTGCCACTGTTTGAGGTGAGCTTTTTCATGTGCTTTCTCTCTTGTCAGAATAGATTAACCCCATAAATTGCACCATTACCACTGTGGCAAAATCATTTTCCCCTATGTAATATACTGCAATAGATGATGAGTAGTGACATGGTTTGATTGAAATACAAGTAAACAAATTCAAACAATCACTAACATTGCAGAATGTAGCCCCAATAATATGAGTTTTTAGGGTAGGACATGAAATTAGCTTTAATCCTGGATTACAGGTGATAAATTACATTATTTGTTACCTCTCTGGATGTTTTTATGGATCACTATGGCACTATTTTACAACGACACTGATTATGCATCTAAGGCTACTTTCACGGCCAACCTGTTTGGCTTGGTTCAAACGAACTGTGGAGCATTTGAACATTTGGTTTGGTTTATGGAGACTGAGTGAGGAGGCGATCAATTAAACTCTGGTGCAGACTGAACAACTGGACCAACACCTGAAAGGTTGGTTCTCTGCCTGTTTCTAAGTCCAATACTGTTTGTTTGTGGTGTAACAACAAAGCAAACCAACTACAGAAATGTGTGATAGTAGATAAGTAATTTTAGCATGAATATTTAAACTATTAAATCCATCTACCAGTGGTGGATGTCTGGTAAACTGAAGGATTAAGTGTTCCTTTATGGGTTGAGAAAATTATCCTCCTTCTTAAGCTAAAATAAACTATTTAAAAACCCTCTTGGATTAGCTGGAAAATGCATTTTGACAAAGCTGAAAACAGGCCTCTTTTTCTAAGCTCATGAAAAGTTGACTTTTTAGAGATACGTGGTTCTCACAGGACAGCGACGCTATATTATACAAATATAATGATCTTATATAATTTGATGTACTGCTGTAGATTAATCTAGCCAACAGTATCTGGTTAAAATTAGCTTAACCTCAAACAACCACGGCAGTAAAATGCTAAATACACACTAAAGCAGCAGTTATATTAATCCAACAACGTCCAAATATATATACCAAACAACAACCAGTCCCCCTTAATATGAAGGTACAAAATGTCTCCTTTTCATCTTGTTTCTACCTCACTATTTATGGCATATGAGGCCCAGTTGGGGTTTTGCTCTTTGTGACCATCATAAAAGATAAATACACACATAAGAAGCAGTAGTGCAGAAGTACTGCATGACCTGGCTGGTAGTCACCGGAATTTGATTCCCCATGTGGGCTCATGTAGTGCTGAGGATGTAGGACAACACCAAAACTCAACAATCAAGTTACCTGTCAGTCCATATGACGTTATTTTTACACCTGTTGGTTCATTTGTGATAACCCATTGTTCACAAAACAGAACTAAAAGACAACAATGAATCCTTATTTTGGTCTAGAACTGAACCAAACTACAGGTGTGAAAGAGATCCAAACTTTGAGCAATGGGATGAATTAGTAGAGCAGTATAGTGTCAACATAGGGACATCAAGGGCTACAAGTAGGGCTCATAAAATAATCACCAATATTCACTGTTGTGATTCATACAACAACACCTGGATTAATATTCTACAGTTTTGGGATTACCTTTTATGTATTTTTCTGGCAGAATGTTGCAAATTCATTCATAAATGTAAACCAGTAAAATAAAGACCCGCCCATGAATGTTTTTTTTAGCCCCCCAAAAAACATGAAGTTGTATCCAGGTCACCAGGACGTGCACAAACACACACACATGTACCTCCGCACACAGTACACACTGACATATACACACAGTTTCACAGTTTGAGACTTGCTGCAGAGACAGTCCAAATGATTCATGTCTCAACCTACTTACACCATCTCTCTGTGGAACAGAGAGGCAGCATGTTTCAAACTCTGTGCCTCGTCTTGCATAGCAATACAGCCTCTTCAACACACTAAACACATATTCACTTCAATGGAAAGCCTGAGGAATGTGGCAGTGTTATTACTTACTGCTCCCCAAATCCCCAAACAAGGACGGGAACACTGCGGCACACACTCGCTGAATGAGGTGCATAAAATTAAGGATGGAATAATAAATCAAAGCAGATATTGGCCTTTAGTTCAATAATGAGATATTGGATGTCAGTGATGTCAACCACTGATATGTTGTAATATGTCAGCTATTGGTACATAATAAAACCAAAAATCTGCCCTCTCAGATTATGTCTCGATTACCCTGAGGCATAATCACACTCAGTTATTGAGCATGTCTTTTTGTGTGACAGAGAGAGACTCACTGGTGCACATGTCCTCTGGTTTGTCCATGTCTCCTCGGTAATAGCCGTTCCGACAACCGCAGAGGGTGGCAGCCTCGATGGTGGAGCGACTGTTGAGCGGACATTGCTGACATAATCCTGCCCCCTGGAACGACTTAAAGGTGCCCTGAGGGCAAGCTGAAGAGAAAGAGAGAGAGAGGGGAAAAGCATTAATAAAAAACAATACACAATTCTGCATCCTGAACATAAATGAAACACAACAATAAGCTATGTTTGGTAAGACATTTGGTAAACTTTGTTTTTGAAAGACGCTGTACCAGTAGAGTTATTACTCGTAGTATGAGGTTGACAAAGCACAGAGGGGGATTTTCTGGGAGTAGCAGCAATTTTATCTTGTTCAGACAAGTAAACAAAAACATTTTGTGTACACACTGATTATCTGTGGTGTAGATTATGATTTCACTTCTGTGGTTTCTGTACGAGTTGTTTCTGTCCATAGTTATTAACTAAATTATCCTTTATGACATGAAACTCAAATGAATTCTTAAAAAGATTATGTCTGCCTTTGTATCCAACTTTTATTCGTCCAGCTTGTGTTGAGCATACAGTACTTGTTTGTTTGTATGGAGTTTCATCATATGCACTGCAGTCTGCTGGGGATAAGACAAGTCTAGTAATGGAGGTTGTCCAGTGTGTATTGGACGCTTCTTACAGAAGTTTTGTTAAATTAAGGCGATGCCTGTCTCCCATCCACAGTGTTTAGTAGGCTGTATGAAGGCCCTCCTTTTCACTTAACTAGCACAGTGCCTGTTTGGAAAAATAATGGCCACAGAACTGCTCATCCAAACAACTTCAGTTAACATTGCGCTTCCTTGGGTCAGCAATACACCCACCAAGTGTGAAGTCGATTGAATTAGGCAGAAGTGATGGAGAGCTGTACCCAGCTTGCCGTTTGATGGTGTAACAGTTAACAGGGGTCCCTTCTCAATACACTCTCAATATTTTGTTCAATTAAATGCCACAGCAGGTCTTGCGTGTCCCTCTTCAGCCTTAAATTTGAGGAAGAACAGTACCCATTTTAAAAATGTAATAAAACATGCCTGAGCCTTTTTAGTTACCTCCACTGGATAATGTGCATTTAATATCCATCTGCTGCCAAATAACCTCACATACGTCGCTGTACATTGCTGTACTCCCTCAGAACTGCTCATCCACACCAACCCACTCCCTATATATTCTTATCCAAAAACATTATGTTTCTGGAATGCCGCAGGTGTATGCTTCATGCCTTTGTTTTCTTGGCAAATGTAGTGTTGCATTTTACATTTTTTTGACATCGATTTTAATAGCATACCTTTGCCTAAACACAATGTCATAGAGCAGAATCATGGCTCCTACTGCTTTGGTTAAATGTACAATCAGTGTATATTTCACCAGTTCTTTGAATGAAATAAGCACATGTTATTAATAGTGCTGCTGATCAATAACAGTCATGTCTCTGTTACCTCAAAGATGTTTTTGAAACAGAAATATACCTGTCTACCTCTGTGTGTTTGCTGGGAATATATTTTTATTATTATTTTATTTTATTTATTCAACCTTTATTTTACTGGTCTCTTAAGATCACTTTTACAAGAAAGCCCTAACCAAAATGTGAGCTCAGTTTGCAAATAATAAGCAGCACAGTAGCAGGTTAAAGGGGCTTTCAGAGCAGTCTACTTACTAGCTTGGAATTTTCAAGTAAAACCCAAGGACAGCTCAGCACTGTTCACTTAAATCGAGTGCAGGAAGAGTTCATGTTTCAGGCTTGAGTACTTGTCAATTATTTGTCAGTTGTACAAATATTAGGTGCCATGTTCAAGGCATTTTGAAAGTAGCTCAGGTTAGTCATTAACATTTCCAGGCTGGTCAGCAATTGAACCCTTCAAAGCTCCAATTTGTGTAGAAACTCTGCTTTCACAGCGGCACTGCTACGAGTGACTGTGTTACTGAGAATGAGTCCTGAGAGTAACAGCCAAACTAAACAAATAATTATATTTAGTTTAATCACACAATATGTAATTTCTGCTGCTAAGGGGTCTCTCACATCAAAAGAATAACAAAAGAAGACGTTTGATGATGTTGTGAAGTAGCGTGGGATAACGGGAGTTGTTGTCTTCACCACCATTGCTGTCATTGCACTGCAAGCCGAATTAAACTGAATTAGATGCTGTCCAGCGGACAAAGGACCTCGTTGGGGGGGCTGTAAGACCTGGTGATTAAAACCAGAAAAACACTGAATAAAGCAGTTTCACCTTACAAATTTCTATTTCTCGCTATTCAGCAGAAAAAGGACGTTCTGTGAGCTGAGCTGCCACTAAGTGTGCCCTGCTTGTGTTCAATGACTAAAATCCTTCATCCAGTTAAAATATATAGTTTAAAATGAGACAGGTCTAAAAAGTGTACTGTACTGTACAAATATGGCTTCAAACTTTTTTCTGGCAGCCAACCACCACACTGATGCATGCACAAAGGGGATATGACGCCATTGACAGGCGACCAGTGAAACGCACTGTTAGCTGAATAAAATTACAAATTTATCTGGGTTTGAACATTGTTGGAAACAATTGTTCCATTGTTGTGTACTTACATTATCCATTGTTGTATATTGTTATTGTAGTCATTTTAATAGGGAAATGTTACATAATATAGCTTTAAAGCTGGAGAAGAGAAAGTTACATTTGATCAAATGTAACATCATGATAAACATCTGAAGTAAGACACATCACCTGTTAAGGCAGAGTACTTTGTGTCCCAGAAGGACACCTGTTTTTATAAGTTTTTATAAGTGCCTTTTTGGTGAGGGCAAACACATTCTGAATTATGACTATAAGTACAAAAAATAAAGCCAAACAGGGAAACAGAGAGGTGTGAAATGAGAAATTAGACTGAATCGAAAGCTCTGCCGAAAGGCTGAGAAAATCAAAATGAGGTTTTTTAATGTTACTTTTTTACAGTTTTGATTTATCTTTAGCACTTTGTTTTCCCTCCTCCGCTGTAATGAATGTTCACTTTATCTCCAAGATGCTTTAGATGCCGTAAGACCAAAATGCAAATGTTACACAGATTTATGGTGGAAGACAGAGGGGACTCCATACAAATGATAACATGAATTGAGTGAAAGAAGTAAATGAGACAGTAAGTTAAGAGTCTCGGAGTGTCGCTTAATCAAACGTTAAAGTGTTAAAGGGTCAGACAGATTGTGCTTAAGAGAGAAAAAGCAAAAGCAAAGAGGGAAACAAATAAAGAAGTACTCAAAGACGTAAGACAAAGAAATGGAGGATGAGAGACTAAGGGGAGGTGAACTGCAATGAAACTGCTGGTTTTATTCTTCTCTCTCAATATTGCTATTTCTGCAGTACTGTTCTATTGTGTTCACTCTCCTGAAATGTTATATTGTTATTTCTTGGTTTTGCTGATGCTTTTGTTCTAACATGATTTACAACGGCGGATGCTGTTCTTTGCCCCCGTGTTTTACTGCATATTACATTGTACATGAACCGCAGAGCTTGAAGAAACTACACAGGACTCAGCTGTGAAGAGCATTTCGTATCATATTGCAGGACTTCTTCAGGCTTGGATTAAATGTGAACAATTTTTTCAATACATCGCTGGCCCCAAATTATGGCGTGGAGTAACTGTTTCACCACTTAGAAATGGTGTAACATCAGTGAACTGCACAGTCCCTGGGCCTAACTGTCCTCTCCTTCCTGTGTGGTGTGGAGGAGGTTGTGAGCCCTGGTTTCTGTGAGTAGAACAATGTTATTTCAGTCTTGAGTAGGAGATGTTTAGTTGTTTTTTTGATACTGGTGCTAAAGGGAGTTCTTATAAAACGCAGGACTGGTTTTTATTTCAGTAACATCATGAATAGTGTTAAAATAAATAGCACTCAATTTGCTGACCGACAGAAAATTCATTTAAAACTGTTTTGATAAAACGATCAATTTGCAAGTGTAAAAGTAAAAAAGCTGTGAGGTGCCTATAGTTTAGGTTCCTAGTTTGACTACTGTTGAAGCTCTATATCTCTAATTTAATGTCATCCCTGCACTGTCTGTGTAAAATGCCCAAAAATACTTAAAAAAAAAAAAAAGAATAAATGGCTGTAAAAGGCTTACTGTCACTCTAGTTAAACATGCAACAGTTTCAAAGAGGTTGATACAGAATCTTATGTAAGCGCCCCTTCTCAGAGTCTTGTGCCCTTTCGCAAAGTGTACAGTACTTGAAATGTACTGTAACACTCACATATTTAACTTATCTCCAGCTACAGTTTTGCCAACGTTTCCCTGACTCTCCATATGTCAGACACCTTCTCCCCCCTTATATTCTTCTGTCGGTCTATGTCAGTCAGTTACTTTATATTCTGACAACCTTTCTTTGAAGTTATCTCTTCAGGAGTGTCAATGGCTTGTGCCTCTTTGTGTGTGTGTGTGTGTGTGTGTGAGAGAGAGTGAGTGTGAGTGAGAGAGAGTGTGAGTGAGTGAGTGAGTGAGTGAGTGAGTGAGTGAGTGAGTGAGTGAGTGAGTGAGTTGTGTGTGTTGTGTGTGTGTGTGTGTGTGTGTGTGTGTGTGTGTGTGGTGTGTGTGTGTGTGTGTGGGCTTGATAGGCAGATAGACATCTGCTTGTCAAGGTCCATTTATTCAACAACCTTGCTCAATACACATTGGGCGTGTCCACCATGGCAACAAGTCTGCTTCCTCTCTCTATTAGTTATGTCTCCTCTCTTTCTCTCTGAGCTTGTCCAGCTGTGGTAATGCTAACACTACATTATGCATGTTTTTTTTTGTGTGGTGAATACGCTTGGTACAGTCAGTTATTTCTAATGTTTAATAGGATGAATGGTCCAAAATGTTGTTGGTGACAGGAGTAGGAATTTTATTAAAAACTGATGAGCATTGTCATCTGCCTCTAAAATGTATTATTTCTCAAAGTGGTCAACTTTGTTGGCCTTGACATATATTACATTTTATTGGTGTCATTGATTTTTAACCAGTGTACCATTGTTAAAGTCCAATTACTTTCAGAGAGACACATTCTAGGAGTACTGGTTCCCTCTGTGCCTTAAACCCAAGCTGTGTGGGAGTCACACAGTGACCAATGTAGATGACAATTGTTAAAGCTGGCATACAAGCTCAATGATCAATTATGAAAAACCTTGCATGAGCGCATGTGTGTGTGTGTGGTGTGTGTGTGGTGTGTGTGTATGTGTGCATAAAGGCCTGCAGATTTTAAAAACTCTTAGAGCATTGTTGGGGTCCACAGCAGGGGTAGTTTGTGTGTATTAATGTACGGCTTACATTTGTAGTTGTGGCATTTGAAGTAAAGGTCTATTGAATATTGGTTTACTTAACCACACACCAACCCCACACCCACACACACCACACACACACACACACACACACACACAACACACAAACACCACACAGGTCTTGTGATGTTGATCCCAGTTTTTGCCGTATGGTTTGCACAATATGGGCCTGGTTTGGTGGCAAATAAACACAATCTCTGTGGCCTGACACACAACACACACACACACACACACAACACACACACACACAAAGACAACCATCTGTTCTAATAGTGAGTCCAAGTTTCCTGCCAAGTTGTTATCCCCCAGCTGATTGGCAGAAGAGCACACCAAAAAAGATGCCAGCTCAGTGGAGACCCAGACGGGACAATGCTCTGTCCCCAATGCATTTAAATCACTCTTTAAGCATAAAAGCTTTCACATAAAAACCCGAGAGGCCAGGTGTACGTAGACATGCAATTCCAACAGAAACTGGTCAAGTCCACATCCAACGGAGTCTGTTCTTTGGTCTGCATCCAGTCAAACTTTCGTTGTAATGGCTGGATGAATAAAAATCTATTATAAATTTGGCTGTGATCAAATATTTTATCCATAAGGAATTCAGAGACTTCAATAAATGTCCAAAAGTTTAAGTTTACAATTGCTAGCCACAATATACAATAAGCCAGTCCTAAACACAGACACAAAGTAAGAACAGGTTGGAGGCAGAGAAAAACACTCATTTGAGTGCAAGCGGCAGTCTCACCTGTGATTAAGACGCATCCCAGGAAAGTATCAAGGCTCTCAGAGAAACAACCCACACAACAGTAACATCACACATTGCTGGCAGAATACTATCGCAAATTAGGAATTTTACTGATGAATCATAACAGGCCAAAGATATAAGCTTCCTGGCTTGTAAACATTTCACACTGTGGGAACTTAAGGACTGTAGGATTTTATGCTCACAGGATTGAAGATTTCATTTATTTTTGTAATTATTTATTTATTTAGTGTTTAAAATTTTATTTATTTATTTATGTATTTATTTAAATAGATATTCTGTTTGCATCTCATACTCATTTTTCAGGATGTGGATCTCCTACTAGGGAATTTCAAGCTTCAAGAAACCTTGAACTCAACAGAAATTGTGACTTAATTTATCCTGTCATAAATATGACAAATATTATTGTGATAAAATGTTTTGCCATTTCACGCAGATCTACTCTCTAGTTTTGTATTTCAAGGGCAACAATTACAAGCTCAGTACTTTTTTTTTTAGAGCTTCAGAGCAAAGAACTGGGAGGACTTATTATAACTACAAATTCCACCTTAATTCTTTCTGCAATGGCAATCAAGATTACCATAGTATTGTCAGACTTAATCACTGTCTCCCATGAGTCGTGTCTGGCTTACCTTCTACCCACTCAAATATTATGAAGGAAAAGTATTTTTGTGCAAGAAGAGACACTGACGCCAAAGGCAAAGCTAACATTTCAGTCAGTGCTTTTAATGTATTTCACTGGAGACAGATAGAATACTATTCATCAGTCCTTTTTTTACTCTCTATCCCTTTTATCTGTCACATTTTATTTTACCTTTCTGTCCTTGGACTGTCCTTTTTTTTAAAACTTATTTTATTTCTTACCAGTCCATCTCTCCAGAGGGCTCTCCTGTCTTTCTGTCTCCTTACCTTCCTTTCCTACTTTCCTCCTTTCCTTCCTTCAGTCTTTCCTTTAAGATGCCCCTGTATCTCTTCGAGACACTCTCTGACAGTTCAGGAATAATTTGCAGTAGACTAATCTGGCTGGAACACGCTAAACTAATTAACAAGGGATGAAGGGGCCTCACTTATCATTTCACCATATGTACATACATCACACACACTCATGCCCCACACACACACTCACACTCTCACACCCACACAAAATAGACGAGACTCTCCAGGGAGAATAAGAAATGATGGGTACTACTTCGGAGAGGAAATGGGGAAGGAGGCCAGATATAAAAAGGAAGTGAAAGAGGTAGAGGCAGCTATTTCTGTGCCATGTTCATTCAAGTCTGTTTTTACTAATATTAACATATGGAACAGTGTGGGCCGCACCCTTGGGCAAAAATACATAGGAAAATATATACATGTGATTATTCAGCAATGACATACTTTGCTTTCCTGCACACACTAATACATTTGCATTTTTGTACCGAATTGACTCAGCATCCAATATTCCAGCTATGACACTGTTTTGTAGACCAAGCCAGGACTTAGACATGACACATTTTTCATCGTGAATGGAAAACAAAGAATACTGATATGATCACATTTTGTTCAAAACATATTTTCCATACCTTATTTTCAACACACACACATTTAATATAAGAACTAAGGTTGTAAACATTTGTTTTATTCTATGCCTGGTGATACCTATTTGATGTATTTTCCCAGAGATATTGCCTGCTGCAGTAGCCTGGCTGCTGTGGTTGATAATGAGAGGCATGTTTGGTGGATATTGATTTGCTGTCATACTGTCTTGTTTGTTGATACAAATTAAAAAAAAGTGAAATTGGTGCGCAGCATGCAACAGTGTTTGCTGTAGCAAGGTCATTAGAACAGGTTAAAACAAAAATTATAATTAATTCAGTCTACATGGAATAATCTCTGATATGCTTTGATGCAGCATTTGCACCAGTTTTTATTTTTTCCAATTTTTTTACGAGCACAGTTTGAACGAGCACGGCATCATTAATGCGCAGATTTACCTCGACACACGTTGCCATTGTCTGGTTCATAACCCGCCTTGCAGCTGCAGCTGCCGATGGGAACCATCCACTCTCCGTCTCCGTTACAGTAGAGCTTTATGGGCACGTCTACCTCCTCGGCGTTGGGGATACAACTTCCCCTAGCGATGACTAATGAGGTAGACTCCGCTCCAGTCAGTGTCTGCACAGAATCAGAATCATAAAAATTAATATGGTGGACAACAGCTGCACCAAACTGATGAAAAGAGCACAACAGATTTAATTTAGTTTTGGTCCACACCTCTGGGAAAAAAGCAAAGTTCTGCACAATGCTCGGGCATTTCTTGTAGAATACTCTGACAGCCAGAAGGGACATGCAAGCGCCCAGATCCTGGAAGGCCAAGTGGAACCCTCTGCCTTTGGACAGCGGCCCGAAACTCCGGACTTCTGTGTTCACCTTCATTAGCCGTCCCCCAAAATCAACCTGGGAGAAACTCTCATCTGCTGCAATGGTGTCCACCTTACAGCGAGGTAGACACACAGAGGATAGGAAAGAGGAAAAAAGGCAAAGAAAATGTTGTAAATTGACTATTTTATTTAGCTTCTTCTGTCCCTGTTCTTTGTATAAAGGGAAATTGTGGTTCTTATTTTATATTCACTAAGTAATGGTTGAATCTGCTGTGTAATACTGGATAAATGCACCTGTGACAACATAACGTATAATTTTATTATGTTATAATTTACAATTTCCAGTGTGAAACTATACTGAAAAAATTGGTTAATTGACTGTGTACATGACATTTTTAGGAGAAAAGTCAAATATGAATCCCAAAGTTCACAGGAAAAAAAAAAAAAAAAACACTCGATCAGTAAGAGTTACATCAGTAGGAAGTTTTGAAAAATTTCAGACCAACGGGTTCTCCCATCCAATTGTGCATTAAGTTTAAGAAGTACAAAAAATTCTTCTATACAATCTAAATCGCAAAATTTGCAGATACGTGACTTTCACTGGACAGAGACGATGTACTGAATATGCACAATGTCAGATTTCCAGCCTCTGGCCTTCATTTTCTTCAAAGTAGTGAATTGATGAGGCTCATTTGTACGGCAGCATTTAACACTCCCATTAACATGTCAAATGACAAAAAATGTCAGACTTGAAGCAAATTGATGGCCATAACAAAGCCCAACAATATTGGTCTCTTTGTGCAAAGAAAAATGTTGATTATCATCACAATTTTACTCAGAAATAGTTTGAAAATCTTGTCAGAACCAGCAGCTCTTCACACAATACAAAGGCTCCAGTTTCTAGATCCAGTACCTTAAGAAAAGGGGCATTGGCCCAGTACTCCACCCCTTTGATGCCCTCTGACACGGTCCTGTCGGTCTCCAGGTAGTACAGGTTGAACGTCTCTTTGCAGGACCCCAGGACGCTGGGGATGGAGGCGCAGTCGCGTACGGTGAAGCGGATCTCCACGTAGATGCGCTGTGCTGCCCGCCGGTCAATGTAAGTGGTGAGGAGCCAGTTGTTCTGGCTGGGCTCGAACACGTTGCACACCTGGTATGTCCTGATGGTGTTAAGGTTCTCATCATAGCCGCTCACCTCCTCCCACTGAAGAGTGTGTGTGTGTGTGT